TCCCAAGGGAGAAGATCAGATTGCCCGATGGTGGCATCAGGGGACGTGCCCAACCGCTCCTGAGGAGCGATGATCAAAGGACCGGCAACAGTCCGGAGGGCAGTGTGCAGTCTGGCCCGGGTTCCAGGCCTATCAGCAGATCTAGATGTCAATCAGACCCACAGAGGACGTACAGCCGGGAGGGACAGGTCAGAGGGCGGATGACAAATTGGTCAGAATCTAGATCTCCAAATGTCTTGAGAGGGTGGAATGAAACCCTCCTGTAACATGATGAAATTTGATAGGGATGGATGGATGGAGGCTCCCGCCTCCCCAGGTAGGGGCCGGAGGCTTAGCAGCTGCACAGGTGAAAAGGATTTGGGGTTTTTGGTTGACTGTGTTAAGGGTGTGACTGTTGCTAAGAGAGTTCTTGGGCTTTAGTGGCAAAGGCAGGCAGCACCTGGTGCTGGGCGGGGCTCTGCACCACACTCTGCAAGGGGCACTGGCTAACTGGGAACCATCCAGATGGAGGTTGTTTGGAAGGGACGAGAGGGTGGATGGTGGCAAGTGGCCGAAGATGCCAGAGGATGACCAGCACGGTGGGAGGGGAGACTCCCGGTGGCTAAGAATTGGTCCCAGTCGCGGAGGGGTTGTAACGTGGCTGAGTATCTCTGGGTGGGGGTGGGGGATCTCAGCTCAATATACCCAATAGAACGGTAAGTGGGGGGCAGGTGTTGTGGCTCAGCCCGCTGTGTTGTTGCATGGGATGCCCGCGTCCCATATTGGAAGGCTAGTTCAAGTCCCACCTGCTCTGCTTCCCAGCCGTCTTCTTGCTCATGCGCCTGGGAAGGCTGCAGATGATGGCTCAAGTACTTAGGTCCCTGCCACCCATGTGGGGCACCTGGATGGAGTTCCTGGCTCAGCCCTGGCTGTTGCTATCATCTGAGGCGTGTATCAGTGGATGGAAGATCTCTCTCTGTGCCAGCTGCACCCCGATAACAGGGCAGCCGTGTTCATCTTTGAACTGTGGGTCAGTTTTTTAGGACTGATGTTAGTGCAGGAGATAAAGTTTGGCCGTGTAGTGGGGGATGGCCAAATGATAAGAGGGTCCAGGGTTCGCATTCCCTGAGATGAGATAAGACCCTTCACTTGCCTGTATCCACTGGGTTGAAGTTACAGTGTTGCCTCCAAGCGCCTGGAACCTTGACCTGCTGCACCCACAAAGCCCTGGGCCAGGGGCAGGTCCTCCCATCAGCTCCCACCTGTGGGCTGGTGTGTGTGGCCGGCAGCTCCGGGGACAGGGAGCTCTCCCCACCCTGAGACACTCACCCCACCCCATGCTGGACTTGCCCTGACTATGTTTCCTTGTTTCAGCGAGAGGCTTCGACCTGCAGAAGTCCGAGGCCATGCTGCGGAAGGTGAGCGCCGTGTGTCTGCAGCTCCCACTGTCGGCTCAGTTCCTCCCCGTGAGGATCGCGCCTTGCTTGGACTTCCTGGCCTGCTTCTGCCTACCTTGACCGCAGCCTTTGGCTTATACAACGTGCCTGAGTATTAAGTCACCACTGTTGTGCCTTGCCCCTCTGGGCCCAGGTGCGTTCCCTCCCCTGCAGACACGGAGCTGTCACTGCGCTGGGCCAGCCGGAAGTGATAAGCTCTCAAACCTTCTTCCTGCCTCTCGCCTTCCCGTGAACACGGTGGTCAGGGGCTCTGTCCGTGCTGTCGCTTACGTGCTAGATGCCTGTGGAGGCCCCACCCCTCCTCCTGCTCTTTAAATGTCCCGATGGTGTCTTTGCAGCACGTGGAGTTCCGAAAGCAAAAGGACATTGACAACATCTTTAGCTGGCAGCCTCCAGAGGTGAGGACAAATTCTCCCATCCCCACCCCCGCAACTTGTGTCCACTGGGACCCGTGGAGGAAAGGTGTGGCAGTGGTGTCTGAGCCCAGGTGGCTCTCAGAGTGGGTACACCTGGGCACCCAGGGGAAGGAGAGGATGAGGGGCCTGGAAGAAGGTCCTGTGATCTGGGGAAGGCCTGGATGAGCCGGGCGTGCTGAGCAGGTGCCTCCCCTGCATCTCTGCCCAGGTGGTCCAGCAGTACCTGTCGGGGGGCATGTGTGGCTACGACCTGGAGGGCTGCCCGGTCTGGTACGACATCATCGGCCCTCTGGATGCCAAGGGGCTGCTGTTCTCAGCCACCAAGCAGGACCTGCTCAAGACCAAGATGCGGGACTGCGAGCTGCTTCTGCAGGAGTGCGCCCGCCAGACCACTAAGGTGAGCGCGGCTGGGACTGAGCCACCTGCCCGCCATGGCAGAGGTGATCAGACAAGAGGGGGCTGTCACATGGAGATCCAGCCGATCATTCAGGAGCGGGGCTGTCGTATGGGGATCCAGGGGATCAGACAAGAGGGGGCTGTCACGTGGGGATCCAGCCAATCAGATAGGAGGGGGCTGTCATGTGGGATCCAGCCAATCAGACAGGAGGGGGGCTGTCATGTGGGATCCAGGGGATCAGACAGGAGCAGGGCTGTCACGTGGGATCCAGGGGATCAGACAGGAGCGGGGCTGTCACGTGGGATCTAGGCGATCAGACAGGAGGGGGCTGTCACGTGGGGATCCAGGAGATCAGACAGGAGCGGGGCTGTCA